TTGGGAGGGTGGGGGGCTGTCAGTGAGGCTTTGAGGCTGGTCTCTGCAGCCTCCCCCGTGGCTCGTTGCCGCCTGGGCTCCACCCTCTGTCAGATCTGCCTGTCCTGGATTCTCATGGAGCCCAAGCCCTATTGCCGCGTGAGTGTTTGTTATACTTTACAATGCGGCCGTGGTGGAAGCAGGGTAGCGGTGGATGTGCCTGGCTTCTGGCACCCCCAGACCGACCTCCAGCCTCCCGACCATCTGTGGAGGGATCATCTCCCACATCAGCCCCAGGTATGGAGAAGGTTGGGGACCATAGCATTAAAAGATTCTCTTAAAAATCAAAACTGCTGAAGTTGAGGGTCCCCTCACCCCACACTCCCTATGACATACCTACTAGGAGATGACCATCCTACCCCATTGGCAAACATCCTTCTGGAACTTTCTAGACGCTTTGCTCTGCATACATATCGGACCTACTGAAATATGAACTCTTGGGCTGGCCCCATGGTCTGGCAGTTACGGGAGCCAGATCCTGCATGGCCGACCCCGAGTCTCAGCCCTAGCGACTTGAAGAACACTCCAGGGATATGTGGACACGTGCATGCCCCGAATCCGGACAGCATGAAGACATGCAGGAGGAAGCATTGCAGTAGGACTGCGCCCCGCTGAGGGGTGCTTTCTCCCTCTTCCTGTGTCTCTCTGCATCTCTCTGGCAAGCACATGAGCCCTCTGGCAAAAAAAGTTTTAAAAGGCCTTTTAAATCTTGATTTGCCTGTTTTCTAATAAGTATGTGTTGTACACATTCTCCTGGAACCTTTTTTCTCTTAAGGTGTCTTAAAAATCTAAGTGAGATCTCATGGATCTGTTTTGTTCTTTTAAAATATCACAGAAGATCACGGTGTTGGCGTGCCATGCCTTAACTATTCGATACGGTGATTATTTAAAACCGAACACAAACTTCTGTCAGTTTACAGAGAGGGAGCCTCTGCCCTCTGCCCCACAGGCGTCTCTCCACCTCCCTTCCCTTGCCGGTTTGGGTGACGTGGCCCCCCGCAGAGGCCCTGCTGGGAGGCCCCTGCTGGAACGGGTTCCACCTTGGCCTCTGTCTTCCGTGGGTCTGTCTATGCGTCTGTGAGTCCCCCAGCCCCCTCCCCTGCCAGGCCGGGCAGTGCCAAGCTTACTCGGCCCCCTCTGACAAGCCCATGACCGAGAAGCCGGCTCGCACTCCCGGAGCTCCTGCGGCCTGAAAACAGCAGCTGCCTCCCTCCCCTGCTCCTCAGAGGCAGCACACTTTGGTTTTGTCTGGAGCCATCTGGAAATGGAAACGATGGATCCGGGCCCCTGTCACCTACTTTCTGAACCTCCGGGTCTCCTACAAGGATGAGTCCTTGATACCAAATGGCCTTTCCGGTCAGTGTAGAGGGGTGGGACAGGACAGAAGAGCGAGGCTACAGCTGTCCCCGGTGTGCTCTCACCGCCCTCCTGGGGGACACCGTCCCATGGCCTCCACTTCCCACATGGTAACAACCCCAACGTGTTCCAAGGGCTTCACACCCACAAGCTCAAAACCCCATGAGGCCAAAACCCCATGAGGTAGTTTCTACCATTCTCCACTCTCCGCGGGGAAACAGCCCCATGGCAGCAGAGCCAGGCGGCCCAGGCAGCCTGCCCGCCCAGCCTCATTGCGTTTCATTCCACCCTCCGCGCCGCCCACCACTGTGGTCAGCATGGGGAGAACTTTCCTTGCAGAGAGAGGCGGTAATCAGAGGGTTTGTCCCAGAGGACTGTGGGGTGTAATCAAAGACTCATTATGAAGCCAGGGACACATAAGTCCCGACTGCAGGCTTTTTGTCACACCAGGGCCTTTGCACATACTGTTTCCTGTGCCTGGTGCCTTCTTCCCACTCCACATGCCCTCCACCCTCCTCCCCCTGCCCAGCTCTTGCGTAGCTAGCTGCCTTCTGTCTTTTTTCTTTTTTTAAATCTTTTTTTTTTTAAGAGATTTTTGCTATAGATCACACACACTTGCTGGAGAGACAGAGGGAAACAGAGAGACAGAAAGCGAGAAATCATCCCCCAGGGGGGATGGCCACACTGTAAACCCTTCTCCTCCGTTCTCTTCTCAGGATCTTGGGCACGCACACATGCCCAATGTGAGTTTTAAGCCATTGGGTCCAGGACTTGAACTGGTTCACTACATGGGAGTCCAGCGACGTAACCATTAGGCCATCTGCTGATTTCACCTCCTTTGGTCTTTTATGTGAGGGTCAGCAAGAGTCCTCGCTCCTTTTACTCATTCATTCATTCATTCACTCGCTCATAAAATACATGTCACATACCTGCTGGGTGCCGGCATTATGCTATTGATGAGACAGCCACAGTTCTTGCCGTTGTGAGACTTGTGGGTAGACTGGGGGAAAGTGCTCAGCCAAAGACCGGCACGTAGTAGGTCTTCAGAAAACAAAAGGCAGACGTGGACAGTTTACGGCAGGCATCGCCCTGGGAGAGCCCTGAGAAGGACTCGCAGCCTGCCTCCCCCAAGCCTGCTCGGCCTCTGGGTGTGGTCCTTCCACGCCGACGAGAGCAGAAACCACATCCTTCTCCCGAGCCGTGTCACAGCAAGTTTACTGGGACTCCTCTCAGCTCCTCGGTGGCCCAGATGTTCTGGGTCCTCCGCGCTGCAGTTGCTACGGCAGCCATGGGGGTTCTCATCTGCCCCAGCAGCCTGTTTTTCACATCAATGCCCTTCTAGCTCTCGGATACCACTCTATGCCAAGCAGTGCCAGCCCACGGAGATGCAGAAACTTGGTCCAGGGAGTGCACAGGAGGAAGGAGCCTGGGCTATGTGCACGCACACACATATGCACACATGCGCATGTGTGCACACTTCAGACCCTTGTGCATTAGCTAGGGGCACATCCAGGCTCTCACCCACCCAGCCACGGTGCTGCGAGCTGCTAAGAAAGCGCTCCATGGGCCGGGACCGCATGGGTTTGGTTGTGGGCCCAACCGAAAAGCCACACGCTCCCAGAGATCAGGAGGCTGAGGCAGGAGGACCATGAGCTTGAGGCTGGTCTGGGCAATAAAATGAGGCTGTTACGTGTGAAGGGACCCCCGGCAGGTCGGAAACAGAAGCGAGAGTAGAGAACGTCTTTTACACCCAGGGGCCTGAGCGCAGCCCTGTACAGAGATACTGAACATGCAGCTACTGGTTGTGCAAACCAGTTCGAATGCGAGGTCATGACAACCAGCCGCACACGTGCAAGCCAGTGTCCAAATGATCACCATCAGACAGCTGGGGACTGTGGGATACAGGCGTGCAAGGTGGGGCCTCACCCTAAAGATCTTATCACCTAAACAGAGAAGCCAGGACAGAGAAGGGACGCCGGCTCTGGAGTCAAACTGTGGGCCTCACGCTTTCCACCACGCACCCTGGGGAATCCTTCACCTCTTGGCCTCTTTTCTTTTCTATGGATGAAGATAGGCACTCTTAGTTCAAGGGGTTGTGGAAACTGAGTCCCGTAAGTAAACAGCCGTGGGGACGTCTCTGCAGCCGGGCGCGGGGCGGTGATCGCAGGGCCCAGCCGCCTGTGGCTGCGTTCAGGTAACCCGGACACAGTGAGAGCGGGGATTCTGCTCTAATGATCCTTGGAAGCTCTGACGACAGGACGTGGGAGCTGTCGGCACTTCCACAAACCGTGTTAGAAATCCCCGCCACAGTGAAGAGGCTCCATAAACCCTCTCCAAGGTTATGTTTTAAAAGAGGGTGCTTCTCTATTAGAGAGACATATTGTAAAATGGCACGATGACAGGGACACGCTTTACAATAACCCAGAGTAAGGAGGGTGACAAGGATGAAAAAGAGTGGCCAGAAATCGAAGACCATTGTGGCTGCCAGTTGGGGCTTCAGATTGTGTTCTCTTCTATATTGTTTTGGTATTTGAAAGTTTTCATAATGAAAAGCCCATTTTAAAAGTTCTCCAAAGAACTTAGAGACTCCAGTTTCCCCGTTTCGCAGATGAAGACGATGAAACTCAGAGAGGTCAAGTTACCTGTTCAAAGTCCCACAGCGTGCTTAGCAGCAGAGCCGGAACTCAAACTTGGGTCAGAGAGACTGCAGGTGCCAGTCATTAGGGAAAAAATGACAAGACAGCCCAAAATCTGTGCAAATGCTCAGAGATGTTTACTCAGACAACTGAGGAAGGATAATGTTAAGAGGGCCTAACCGGGGGCCGGCAGGTGGCATAGTGGTTATGGTGTTGGACTCCCACATGGCCGACCACGATTTGGGTCCCAGACCTGGTGACTTGCTTTCTCACCTTCTCTCTCTGTCTGTCTCTCTCTGGTCAAATTTTAAAGTAATAATAAATACAGTAAATAATTCTCTTTTTTTTAAAAAAAAAAAATAAAAAAAAAAAAGGAGGGCCTAACTGAAATATACATTGCAGGGAAATGTATTTTCCTTCAATCATTAGTTTTAGGGAGGGAAAGAGGAAACACCAGGCCCTCCCCCAAGCCTCCTTTTCTGTGCTCTGCTCTCCCATAGGATCCGGGCTTCTGGGGGTGGTGATACAGACAGAAACAGACCCCACCATGGTGTTGCACACTGGTGAGACACGTAGCTCTGCAGGAAGGCCAAGGCCCAATTTCTGCTCTTCCCGACATGGGCGTGGTGGCATGGGCCCATAGTTCCCGACGCGGGAGACCGAGACAGAGGGTCTGGGCCTAGCTGCCTCGGTGGACAAAATAGCAAGACCCTCCTGGCAGAGGCGTGTATGGCGGTGCACACCTGTAACCCAGCTCCTCAGAAGGCCAAGGCAGGGGGACTGCAACAGAGTGAGACCTTGCCTTAAAAAATAATATTAAACTAGGAAGAAAACTACAGCCACACGGGGCCGGACGGCTGAGCAGCGGTACGGTGCTGCTCTCTGCAAGGCTGACCGCGGGAAGGTTGCTGGTTGGGTCCAGAGACCCCCCCTGTACACGCCAGGGACACGTGTGCCAGTGACCCAGGCTGGCTGAGGCTGGGGTGGATCGTGCCATCGGGACCCTCAGGGGTGCTCTCTTTCTAACCCAAGGAATGATGAAAAATTTTAAATCTCTTCAAGTAAAAATGAAAAATAGCAATACACGTGTCCTCTCTTGCCAGTTTATTGGCCTCTCTCATGCCTCTCTCCAGAGGGCCCCCCGGGCCTGAGAACAGCAGGGCAAGTTCCTGAAGGCTGCCAGCTTGGGACGAGGTCAGGGGTGGGAGTGCCTGACGTTCCCCTTGGAGCCCTACGGTCTGGGTTCAAATCCCGCATGCCCCTTCCCAGCTGCATGACCCTGGGCAAGTGTGCCCTGCTTTGACCTTTGCGGGGGCCCTCGGCATTGTGCTGCAGGTGGGATTCACCGAGGACTCCCCCGCACACACACACACACACAGAAGCGAGCCTTGCGGAGGGACGTTCAGCATCGACCCAGCCTGTGTGACACCAGCACAAACTGTGAATGAGGGAAATCGACTCCCCAGGCTGGGCCGAGTCACACCCTGCGCCTTCTGTTCCGGGGGGCTCCCGGCACATTGGCCGGTAAAGAGGCGGGACCAGGTAGCTGCGAGCTCTGTCCCCCTCCCCCCACTCCCACCCCTCACCGGTTCATGTGGAGCACACAGTGGGGCCTCAACTGTGCACCCAGGGCATGTTTATCAGAAGGCTGGTCCCCAGCAGGACACCTGGAAGGGGGTGGCAGTCCCAGCCATGGCAGTGGAGCCTAAGAGGTCAGTGTCTGACCCTCATTTCACAGAAGGAAACAACCCACTGACAGACGCGCTGACTCTGGCAGGCTGACCGCTCATCCAGGACTCCTGTCTGACTGGGGATGCTTTTAAGAGAAGTGACAAGGCCCTCTGGTGGCAAGTCAGCCGCTTCGCAGGGATGTCCCTCCTGAGCACACGAGGAATGAGAAAGCGGCGACTGCCCCCACGTGGCCGGAGCCGGGAGTGCAGTACTCAGGTCGGAGCCCAGTGAGTGGCGCCCGGCTGACCTGAGCAGGTTGAAGGAGCACCCAGCAGCGCCAGCTTTCTTGAATCCTAACTCGTGGCATCCTCACACTCGCCTCCGAGGCCCCATTCTACAGAACAGGAAACAGGTTCTGAGAAGTTCGCTGCTCTGGCCAAGGTCGCTGGGTTTTCAGTAGCAGAACCAGGCTCAAACCCAGACGGGAAGGGATGGAGGAAAAGGACGAAGTGGCGTTTCCTCAGCATCGTCTGTGACTACGCGTGGAGCGGTGGCCCCAAATTCAGGTGCTGAAGCCTTGACAGCCCAGTGCAATCATATCTGGAGAGGCCGCCTCTGGGAGAAGCCAGGGTGGGGCCTCCCAGGAGTAGCGCCCCTCCAAGCACACGGAGAGCTGGTCTCACTGTGAGGACACCCAGCAGTTGGAGCCGGCCCCGGGACCTTCTCGCCTGCAGACCATGGGCACTAAATGTCTGCATTGGCGCCACAGTCACCTGCCAGGTGACAAGGGCCGGGTGGATGATGGCTCGGCAGACCCTGGTGGCCCTGTGGGGGTCTGACCGCCCTGCCGTATCGCCTGGCGGTGCAGGGGCTGTGCCGCGAGTCCCATGTGTACACTATGACGAAATCCATCGCCACGCAGTTCTCACACTGTCGCCACCTTCAAGCAACGTGTGACCGTGGTTTGTTACGGCCGCCTGACAGGGCTCCCGCACACCAGCAGGCGGCGCCCTGGTGCCTAGTGCACCCCGACACCCTGAGGGCTCCGGGCCTGTGAACCAAACCGCCCTGCAGTGGAGCCTCCCAACGGCCCCTTAGTGCGCATTGGGGCCTGGTTTACAGAGCAGGTGGGGAAGGGAAGTGGCCCCGGGTTCCCGCCGTCCCACTCACTCCTCCTCACCCGGAGGTTCTTGACTCTCCCTACTCCCCCACCTCGTATCCAGGCACCTGCCAGCCCTGCTAATTCCTCCTGAGCCCAGCTCATCGCAGAGGGGGCCATAGACATCCTGCTACCGGTAAGGGACAGCAGATGACGATCCAGCCCGCGGCCTCTTGTCCCCTCTCCCTGCTTCCCTGCAGGCTGTAACCTGACAAGTCTCCATCCCATTGGCCTGAATGACTGCGCACCCCTCCCCACCAGGCTCCCTGCCTCACCCTGGCCCACTCTCCCTCCCACAGCCAGAGATGCTCAAACCAAGTCATGCCACTCTATGCCTACACACGTGTGTGTGCACATGTGTGGAGTGTCTGTGAGTCTCGTCGAACCCTTAGCACGAACCCAGGACAGTTGCCTGCTGGGTGGCTATGAACACCCCGGGGTCAGTACTCTTTTCATTCAATACTTCCAACACAGTAACTGCAGACCTACTGTGTGGTGGGCCCTAGGCTGAGTGCCAGGTATGAAGTGGAGGAAAAAGCAGATGTGACCTGCTGACCAATTATGAATGGATAAAGAAAATTCAGAGTGTGTGTGTGTGTGTTTGTGCAGGGATTTCAAAAAGTTTGCGGACAATAAAATTAAAGTACGAGTTTATTTTGGTGCAAAAAAATTCCAAAATCATGCTTTCTTAGAATACACAGTTCCTGTGAACTTTACCCCTTTTACGATGGAACGCGTCAGCCACTATAGAGAGTGACACCCTAGTGCTGAGGCAGCCCGGTGCCCCCAGAGGACATCACACCAGTGCGATAACGTGGCACAGGAGGGGCAGGGCCACCGCAGAGACGAGGACACGCAGCGACCTGACGGATGCAGGGGAGTGGCAGGGGGACTGTGCGAGGAAACAGTGCGGCTAGCTCGAGGAACAAGCGCTAGTGGGTGTACAGGAGGGCGACAGCCGCCGGGGATTTACGAGGCGAGAGGACTTCCACGTTCTCAATGCCAAGAAACGACGAATGCTTGACATGATGGATGGCAATCCTAATACGGTCATACATGTTCTACGTCGGGTGAAAAGTCACACCATACCCGTAGGCGTGCACAACTGTCATGCGTCAGCCATAACGAGAAAAGGTGTTCACCCGTTTTGCAGTTGGAGCAGGTGCTACACCCTTGTCCCTACCCTCCTCGTGTGATTGTGGTTCCTTAGTGTCGCAGTTTCCTCATCTATAAAACGGGCGAGATGACAGCTTCTTCCTCGCAGCATTGCTGTGAGGATGAAACAAGCTAATGTGGGGCCGGCAGGTGGCTTGGGGGCTAAGGACACTGGACTCCCACATGGCCAGCAGCAGTTTGAGTCTCGGACCTGGCAGCTTGCCTTCTCAATCTCTCTCTCTCTCTCGCTCGCTCTGTCCCTCTATGGTCAAATTTAAATAAAGTTAAATCAAATAATTCTTCAAATAATACTTTAAGTAAATAAATAAGCTACCGTATGCACAGAGCTCAGCTCCCAGCTCGGCAGTGGCAGTAAGAACTCACTACCACGATGGCAGCCATTGTGCCCAGCACACAGGGGCACACGGTTAACACCGGCCGAGAGGGGAACCAGCAGTTAGCGTAATGGCTATGTCGCTGGACTCCCACATAGTCGACCACGGTTCGCGTCCCGGACCCGGTGGCTTAAAACTCACGCCAGGCACATGTGCGTGCGTGCCCAAGATCCCGAGAGGAGAATGGAGGAGAAGGGATTGCGGCGTGACCATTCCCCCTGGGGGGTGATTTCTCGCTTTCTGTCTCCATGTTTGTCTCTGTCTGTCTGGCGAGTGCACGCGCCCTATAACAAAAACCTCTCCAAAAAAAAAAACCGGCCGAGAAACTCATGCTGCGATGGCAGCGGCACGCGTGGTGAGTCACGTGGTGCTTCTTACAGCCTTTGAATCCAGCGGGGTTTCCATAGCTGCCGGGAGGCTGCACTTGGTGGTGCTCTTTGCCCACCATGGCTTGTTTCCAAGGTCATCTGGTAGCCCTTTCTCAAAGGATTCAAAAGTTCTCACTCCTGGGGCCAGCAGGTGACATAGAGGTTAAGGTGCTGGACTCTCATATGGCCAGCCACAGTTCGGGTCCCTGACCTGGCGGCTTGGTTTCTCACTTTCTCTCTCTCTCTCTCTCTCTCTTTCTCTGGTGAGCACACATGCCCAATAGCAAATTTAAAAATAATAACAAATAAAATTAAATAAGTAATTCTAAAATTTACAAATGTGCTCCAACTATTGCAGCACTCCCACTATGCATATTCCCTGCCTTTCCCTCGAGCCCGGGCTGTGCCAGTCTCGATCTGCCTCTGCGTCACGAACGCGTCTCACTCGCCACATCTGGGGCCTGGTGCTGCTCCGCTCCACACCTGTCTGCCCGCTCCGCTCCGAGGACACTGGAGGACTGCGCCCCTGTGGCATCCCCCACGGCACACAGCCAGGGCCCACCG